GGGGGGAGGACAGCTGGGGACACTGGGGAGGTGGCAGCCCCCTTGCTGTGAGCCCACCTAACAGGGACAAACCCAGAGGCTGTCCCTCCCTTGACCATCCCCAGCTGTCCCCATCCCCACTCAGCCTCACTCCCCGTAGGTCTCTGGGAACTACAAGATCACTCCCATCTCCTCTCGGCTGCTCCCTGGGGAGCTCCTGCCCGACACGGAGCAGGGCCTGGTGGCCAAAGCCTTCGAGAAGAACTACAGTGTCATTGCCTCCTACTCCACCATCCCCACCACCCACCAGTGCAGCCTGGAGATCCAGGAGCATGGTAAAGCCCCCGGCACCTCTGGGTTGGGTGGGATTGGGGGGTCCCATGGCTTTTGCTCAGCTTTTCTCCCCCCATCTCCCCACCCCAGAGGTGGTCAGGAAGGCGCCCACGACGTCGACTCTCCCAGCCCCCAGCACTGACTCTCTGCCCAATGTGCTGCTGCTCATGCTCCAGCCCTGGAAGTGCACGGATGAAACCATGGAGATTGTCATTGCCAGGTCCCACCTGGAGGTAAGGCAGAGGGGGTGTGATTGTCCCTGTCATCCAGTGGCATCGCCCAGGGAGGGGGATCACACCTTGCTCCAGGTGCTTGGGGGGCGGGGATGGGATCCCCAGGCAGTGGCTGACCACCAGGTTCTTTTCTTCCAGCCCATCAAGGATGTGGTGAACATGACCCTGAGGGACATCAGCTGCCAGGCAGAGAAAAATGCCACTCACTTCATGCTGAAAACCCCCCTCAGCCACTGCGGCACCTCGCTGGAGGGCAGGGGCCACGCCAACAATGAGGTGAGGGGGGCCCAGCCCCACTGGTGCCCAGTGGAGGCTTCTCCACTGGGACCTCCTTGCTTTTGCACACCTGGAGACATCCCACTGCAGCCCAGGGCTGAGCTGTGCCTGGATGCTGGCAGAGATGGGGGTGAGGACCCCCAGGTGGGACATTGGCCTCTGGCCCATCCTATCCCACGATGGGACCCCCTCCATCCCACCCCAGACCCCAGCAGTGGGGTCCAGGTGTCTGACACACCCTTCCCCACCTTCTTGCAGCTCATCCTCAACCTGGCCAACGGCACAGTGCTCCGCAGCGTGCGGGTAAGACCAAGTCTTCCTGGCAGGTCTGGGGTGGGACCCTGGGAGGAGGAGGGTGCTGGTGCCACCACCGGGTGCCAGGGGTGCTCCCAGTAATGTCCTTGCTCCCAGGTGGCCTTCCAGTGCAAGATCCCACGGGAGCTCTTCCTGCGCCTCTTCCCCTCCGCTGCCTTTGAGGTGCCACAGACGGAGCTGGAGGTCAACAAGGAGGCCTTTGTCCAGGTACCAGCAGAGCTCAGCGCTGGGGATGGGGGGGTCCCTGGGCCGGTGTCCCTGATGACACGTCCCCACTGTCCCCATGGCAGGCGTCCATGCGCTGGGAGGACCATCCAGCCGACCTGCAGCTGAAGGAGTGCTGGCTGGCGGTGCCGGGCAGGGAGCCAGAGCTGCTGGTGCAGGGTGGGGAGGCACAGGGGGCAGGGGTGGCTGTCATGGAGGGTCCCCCTGGCACCCGCGGCAGGAAGGTCTGGCGCTTCCGCTTCACCTACACTGTCCCCGAGGGCGGACGCGTCCCCTTCTCCGCCACCCTCAAGTGCAGGGCTGGCTTGCAGGTCAGTTTAGTAACCCCCCTACCCACCCCACGATGCCCCCACCTCCTCGCTGGTGGCC